ATTTGTTCAGGTCGTGGAAGAGGAAGAGATGGTCCAGAATTTTTCCCTCGTGACGATTTTGGTCCCCCTGTAATGGATGAAGGTTATGGCCCACCAATGCGCGAAGAATTCGGACCTCCACTGAGAAGCGATTATGGCCCGCCGATGAGAGATGATTTTGGTCCGCCTATTCGAGACGATTTTGGTCCGCCAATTCGAGACGATTTTGGTCCACCGATGAGAGACGATTTTGGGCCACCAATGAGAGACGATTTTGGGTCGAGAGGTATGCGAATGCGTGGAAGAGGATTTTTTGGTCGCGGTAATGGCCCGAGAGGCAGAGGAGGTGAGCGGCTTGTTGATTGCTTAAAACAATGTTACAAACTGCAAAAAATATTACAACCATATTCCTAATTATTTATCAATTCTTTAGTATAGGCATACCACCTGAATAATAATCCTAGTTCAATTTGATCTGAATTTCAAATAGAGCTGATACTTTTTTACGATTAACATTAATGTTAGTTCATTTCATCAGGTTTCTTATTACGACTTGATAAAGTATAAATTCAGTACCAAATGTACTACGGAACGTAATTCAAAGTTATTGATACATTTTTACTAGGGCTCGGAATCAAACTCGAATAATTCGAGTATTCGAATATTCGAATATTCAAAAAGCGAATAATTATGTGTAGTCATAACTCGAATAATCGAATACTCGAATACACCAACATTATCAAACTCACAAGGTGCAAATATCTTTATATGCACTTTGTATACTTTTATAAAATAAATGATTCATATTCTACAAGCATTTAAGCAAATACCCATATATTTACAAGCAAATGAAAATAATCATATTTACTCTCCTGCAAATGAATGTAAAATTACGTCTCTATGTTCTGGTGATACGCGTTATCAACTTTTGCGCGGTGTTACAATTAATGTGCCGACAAAGGCACTTTTTTATCCGTTGTGGCTAGTTGCCAAAAATGATATGAGATAACGATTTTTCTTCTTGGAAAACGGTGAACGGAAAACGAACACTCGAATATCTAACGAATATTGGAATACTCGAATATTCGTATACTCGATTATTCGAATATTTGTTAGATATTCGAGTATTCGAATAATTTTACTATTGAAATAAACCACTAAACGAATATTCGAATATCAGATTTTAAAAAATTCCGAGCCCTAATTTTTACCAATAATCGCAAAAAAACTAAATATAAGAAATATTTATGACACAAAAAAACTGTTGTATTTTAAGAACAGAAAATACTTGCCTGTAAGACATTAGTCGAAATTAAATTGTCGATTTAGAAACTTGCGGCTATAAAAATCATACACATGGGGTGCAAATATTACAAAATCTCTATCTAACCGACAAGGTGATATTTCTAAATTAATGTAATTTACTAATCCAGAATTCTTTTAAACTTTGAGCTTAAATGCGTCGTAGGTGTCAGCTTTGGTCCTAAACTCCGGTAACTAATTTGCGCTCCGGTAACTAAAAGAGCATTTCTTATCAAATTGTGGTAAAAGACGCAAGTAAATTCAGTCGATTCAAAGATCAAACATTTGATTCAAAATAGCCAAATAGAAGTTTGTAAGTTTAAGTACCTCCACTCCCAATGAGTTCACTCATTAACGGGTTTTAATTTTATTTTCGACGCAAAAAAGTTCCTATAAATGAAATAAGTACCAAGGATAGTTTTTTACAGATAGGAACTTTTCCGTTTTTATATTTAACAAATACTTAAATCTCGTAAAATCTTAAAGCTTCAATTTCTTGCTGAACCTTTTCCGTTTGTTGAACGTCTTCGTTTCACAATTTTTCCCTCAACAGCTTCGTAATACGATACATTTTAATTATTAAAATCTGTCAAGCCCCAAAACCGCTTTAAAATATTCTTTATCATATTTTTTCATACGAGCAGTCCGATAACTGCGCAAGCAATCTTTGTTTTGGAAAATTTTTACAGCTACGATATTTCCGGTTTGAGTACAATTTCTTTTACCTGAATTTCGTTCAATTTTTCCCACTTTTTGGATGTATGATTCCTCAATATTTTATCCATTGCAGTTCGTATCTCCGTCCTCTGAAGGCGAATATTGTTCTATAATCCTGATTCTTTTTCGATTTTTTTAAATCATTAGTTTCAATTTCTTCTTCACTATCTGAACTAAATGTTCTTGTTTTGTTCTGAAATGATTGAAATAATTTCGAAAATTTAATATTAAATTTTAAGTTTTATATTAATTAAATTCAACAAACGCAATTGCCACAAAAAATGAGGTTAACTTGTTAAATATTAAATTCCTTGATTTAAATATAAATGTAGTTAGACCACTTTCAAACTACACGGTTCACTTATTGAACTGATTCTGCAAACGTGTCCAGAATTATCATATTTGCATGGAATATAAGCGACCTGAAATTCTTTATGTACTGATAAATAGTGTGATAAATAGCAGAGTCTGTTAAACAGGTGTTTTATAAAGGTGGAATTTGTTTTTTACCAACTGCAAGCATATTTGTGATGTGCTTGCAAATTTTAAAATCTCCATAGTAGACGTAGGACGGATTTTGTTTATCATGTGAAATATTTTTGATTATTTGATATTGTTGTTTTTTATTAAATTAAAACTATATCTGAACACCGTTAATATTGCAGCAGCGTCGTTCCGAGAGGGTCCATCTGGATTCAACGCCGATTTTGATGGAGGTCCACCTGAGTTCTTCAGGGGAGGCCCTAGGGGACGCCCATTTGTTGATCCTTTCCACCATCGTGGAAGAGGTCGTGGTTTTAGAGGAGGGCGAGGACGGCATGAGTTTGCAGATGGTCCTCCTCCAGATTTTTTCAATGGACCCCCAGGAACACATTTTGAAAGTGGTCCTCCATATGAGGATGCTCCTCCGTTTGGAGAAGTACGAACTCAATCTGCGGACTTCGGGAGCGAGCCTGATGGACGCAAGGATCGAAGTACACGGAAGGAAAGACTTTCCCGGTGGGAAGGTGAGCCGGAACAAGGGGAAGTTAACCAGAATGTTGAGACATTGCCTGCTTGCCCAGATGGTAAGTTATTGCGCCAATATTTATTAGAAAGGTTTTTTCGAATGCTTCGAGATTTAGTCTTGGATTCATAATTCTTGCGACATACAAAATCTACTTGGTAACTTCGAAGACTGGTTTAATGTTTTAGCAAAAAAATCACAGAAATGCACGCGGTAGCGGACGCGAGTTGCAGATCGTGTTATGGTGTGTACAGACCTAAAGGTACGGTTTCTGTGGTGCGACTGCGACTGCGACTCGCGGCTGAAACCTAAAAGCAACGAAATATTAACATGCATCGAATGGTTCTTGAGAAACTTCGAAAAAAGCAGCGTCATGTTCAAGTGGAGTTTGAAACTCAAAAAAAATTACGCAAATCTAAAACTTCTTGAATTCAAGCCTTTTTTGAGAAAACTGCCAACATTTCCCCATCCATGGTTTACTTTCTAAAAAGGCCATTTATTTCT